AACTGAACTGAACTGAACTGAACTGAACTGAACTGAACTGAACTGAACTGAACTGAACTGAACTGAACTGAGTTGAATTGAGTTGAATTGAGTTGATTTGAGTTTAGTTGAGTTGGGTTGGTCTGGGTTGAGTTGAGTTGAGTTGAGCTGAGTTTAGTTTAGTTTAGTTTAGTTGAGTTGAGTTAAGCTGAGCTGAGATGAAATGAACTCTTGAGCAGAATACTGCTGCAGTTTATATAAGCATGTGAGCGATGGATACATGGTGACATAGATAATTTGTAACTCAGTACTCAAACTAAGCTCTGAGTGACTAGATGACTATGTGGCAGAGAATGGACTACAGGTAAATTTGTATCAAAGGCTGCGTAATGGGAATTTAACCGAAAGTGGATGAACTTTCACTGAAGTGGTTGATGTTTTGGCTATGTCCTCGATGATTAATGCGGTCAATACTGTGAATGGTTTGTGTGGATGAAATGTCCCGGATCTTCGGAAAATCACAGCACAAGATTAGTTACAAACCAAACTCATGATTATCTCCAGACAGACAAGTAGAAAGTGTACACAAGTGGGGCAAAACTCATCATCCATGCTTGGAAAACAGGTTTTTCGCCTAAACAAGCCGGACATTGGTGACAACAGCAAAATTCAGGATTCCATTGAAACTGTAATTAATTATTGTTGTTTATTCACAATGGAAGTGAACGTGATATAGTGAGACAAATTTACACTGCAGGATATTGATTAATATACCACTTACCACCAAATACGTAGTTTAGTTTCATGAATTAATACTATGCTGGCCAAGGTAACTAATCCAAAGAAATGTGTCCCACCCCGCAGAACAAAAATGGCAAGTGAAGAAACGTGTTCACCAATAACTGTAAGGTCGTTATGGGAAGAACACCGTGCGGAACTATCGAACTTCCGGTCAAAACAAGATACTCTTGTGAGCGAACTGTGGTAAGTGTGCCAGTGCACTGGTCTATTTTAGCAGACAGCTTTTTCACAAATCGATATCAACAACCCAGCACCGATCACATTAAATCATCTCACGGAGTAATTGGGGAATTTCACGACATGGGAAAATATTTTACAGTACTACCCGTCTAGTGCACTCTGTTGAAAAAGGTGCATAGACTAGCCAGAAGATATGTTGATACTGAGAGGGGGAGTGCAAACTGTTGGTCTATCTGGGTCAGGTTCAAGGAGATCACAGAGATTTAAAGGACCTTCTTCATTTAGTCGATTCGCTCAGCTTCTAAAGTACACATGAAAGTATACTTGATTTGCAATCTGAAGAAAAAACCTACCAACATGAAAAAAAACAGATGAAATCATGAGATTGCGTTCCATCGAAGCACGGAGAAACGGCAATGAATGCGAGAGTTGTGACTACTCGGAAACCAGTGTGCACAAGTTATCAATGGATCCTCTTTTATGCAACACATCAGAGCGGACCATGCGTTGGCTTCTGTGGATGTCACGATTATTTGGACATCTATACTCTTTTCAAACAGTCTATTTTCTACAATCAAGTATAACAGCTTATCAATGGATCCTGTCTTATGCAATACACCAGAACGGACCATGCGATGGCTTCTATTGATGTCACGATTATTTGGACGTCTATACTATCTTCAGTCAGTCTATTTTCTACAATCAAGTATAACAGCTTACTTTACATGGTCCAATCGTTAGATAGTAGTCATTTTGGAATGAAAAGTATGGATATGTTCTCATTCATGCGAATATGTCTGAGATTTATAGAGAAAATATGTGGTTGGACCCTAGGCCACAAAGGTTTCCGCCTTTATTGGGACTCTTCAGATAGGTTTAGGAAGCTTGGGCAAACGAATCTCCAGACTTCCTCTGAAGAACGCGCCGTCAGTCTCGTTTGCACAGCTAGCGGATTTGTTTTTGGATGTGATTCTCAATCAAACAAGCTACTGGTTGGTTCAAACGACCGTCGGCTGTACGCGGATGTTCACGTTCTTGCTTGGTCATACTCATCACCTGCCTCAATGAATAATGTGTGAACGGAATAGTTGAAATCTTTGTTTCCTCCAAATCTCAGCGAATCGGTACTTCTTCGCACTTCAGCTTTGAAACGTAGTTTGCCACTGAATCTAAAGCGCGGTTTGGACATCTACACGGTCAACTAGATAGATGTTCTGGTACCATGATCTGATGAAGTCTGTTGGTGGCCAAAAAGTTCTGCCTGCTGGTATCACAATTCACCAGTCATCCAACTTATTGACAACGTAAAAAGCGTGCGTCAGCTTCACGCCCAAACATGAGTTGGCCATGAGTACGTTTTTTTCTGGATATAAAGAACAAGTTTCCGAAATGAAAACTAGTTTGGAAGACCCACAGAGATTTGCTTTTGTTCCGAAATAGAGAAATAGCCCCAAGGCAAGCGTATGGGACCTGCTAGCAATGTGCCGTAATATTGGAAGCTCGCGTGCCTTGATTGACGGTTGATCCGGTGATCGTTATCCTGATCACGGAGCTTGGCAGTTGGCGTGGAGACACCTCCTCACCAGTCGAGGTGACATCTGCTAAAATAACTGTCAACACAAAGACCAACTGCGGACCCAATCTACCATGGTCTTACACTGTTATACTTGACTGTATGGTCAGCCTACCAATGCAACCCACACTATCAATGACCAATACACCAAAATACCGCTCACAGACACAAAGTTTACGAAAGAAACAGAAAAAAAATCGTGCACGTTTCTTCGCCTGCCGGTCGGAAACCGGGTTGATCGATAACTAAGAACAAGCAAACCCAGTCCCAATCGGGCGTTTCAAGCTAAAACTCATATGAAACCCATGGACAAGTACTACCTAAATCCTTTACCTAGCGCGTTCTGCGTCTTATCATAGCATTGTCGTACCCTCCTGGTCTGAAGTGACTGTCCTGGCGTATTTTCAGGACGTACTCATCCTTTCACTCTCTCAATGTTCAAATCATCTCGGTTCCCAGAAAATAGCCTACATATGGTTTCCGTTTATAGGCAGAGACATGTCAGCCGGAGTCCTCACAGTCCTACGTGTTTTTTGTGTGGAGATTTCGTCCTGTAAGTGAAGTCAGCCTATGCTGAAAAGCCGAGAAGCACTGTATAGCTGTTTCATCCCTATTGGGAATCATCAGCAGTGCGCATCTCACGAAACTCCGAAGAGTCTCGAACCCGCGACCTCCTGGCTAGTGGTTTGAACACTTAACCGTTCGGCCACGAGTAGCTGATCAGCAGTGTGATTAACTCGCACTTAGACAGGATATAGCGCCGCTCATCCTTCAATCACGGGATCCACATCACGCGGTCACACGTGTTGATTGGCTCCTCGAGCAACGACTTCTCAGATGGAAGTTTCACTCATCGGGTTAAATTTATGCTTCCACTGAGCTGTATGCATTCCTGACTATTTTAACAAACTCTTGCAGCCAAGCGTTCTTCGTGAATGTGAACTCAAATATTCCAAACAGAATGTCACTAATCCCTCATCCTTATTTCAGTAAAGAATGAAAGTCGATCATAAACTTTGGCGTAAGCAAAAGTGATACACACAACGAGAGTTTGATGGTACCGCAGTTCTCAGTCATCCCGCTCCGTCTTAGACGGGACTATTTGATTTGCAAGTTACCACTGTGGACCGGCAAAGTGTGACGTCACTTTAGCAGCATCATGCAACCTAATGGATGTCAGCTTTTTAGTTTAGCACCGGCATTTCATGAATCCCAAGTTGACCGTCAAATTATGGTGGCTTTCCATCTCGACGGCGTTCCTGTTAGATCGTTCTTAAATTTGAGGATCATGGTGACGCATCCCTAATTAGCCTGCATTCATCATCCATCTAGGTATTGTGAAGTAACAAAGTACCGTTTTTTGAGGAATGAATTTGTGTAGACTGTTTTCACCCGGAAGACTGTGACATTTTGGTTGTCGAAATTCCATCCAGACCCCCAGGCGACCAGAGAGAGACTATTCAGGCCCACGGATTCCTAGGTGTAGACCTGTGTGGAAAGGCTGAAACTAGAAATTGGCTGAACTGCGCATCGAAATGCTTTACTTCCAGTCCATCCATCCGTCCAAAATTTCCTTGGGAGAGAGTTCCTTTGCACTAAAATCCTTAATTAACGAAAATGGCTCTCTGTATTATTCTGATGTAGGTTGATTTGTCGAAGCACCAAAACCAACAAGAGCTTCTTTGTTGTGATTCCCACTTCGCGGATGACAAAATTGGCAAGGGGATTTCAGGCGTTCAAGGTGACTTCGATTTCTCCCGGGTGGCTTTATTCCCAACTGTTAGAGCCGAATAGGAAACTTTGCGGTAAATGCAGGACCAGAGGTCATCCTGACTGGCTGGCACGCTAGTGACGTCAGTATGTACACACAAGTTAAGTAGGCATTCCCCGTTCATAATCTGTCAACAGAATGCTAGCTACTCTCACCAAGTCCAGGATTGTGAACCTCAACGGCAATATATCTGCCAAACACCAGGATGTTCACACTTCAATGCTACTTGACTCGGAGACGAGTTTCAGGGGACTGTAAATATCATATTTCTGTGATTTTAGTGCCTGGGTGACTGCTAACCAACCTACATCAACGTTGCTATTCCAAATACCGACGAGTTGACTTCGGTATGAGGGTCTATGTTAACACACCCAGAGCAGTTGAAGTCAGCGGTGCGGGATGGATCGAATTGTTAGCAAACAGGTCGAACACCAGTGGGTATACACCAACTAAAACGTGGGTGGTCAGGATAGTTGGAATAAAAGAATTTACAGGAGATGTCAAGATAGAATGAAGGTTGGAAGTGGTAGTAACCATCAGTTTGACCAAACATTCTGTTTGGCTTCACTATCAGTGGAAATCTGGTTGAAAGAAAGGGCCACTCCTAAATCGATTCGGGAGCTTTTTTGTGAAGAAAAAAACGGCTACTCTCAAGTAAGGGGGAAATGTGAAGATTAGAGTTTACTGGAAGCCGAAGACACCCTATCTACTTCATGTGGTTCTTTGGTGAAGAGATTTATCTAGGATTGTCAATACACCCTAACTCCGCCTTAGTTTTTAAGATTCTCGGGACCTTTTTTCTATGAAGAACCATTGTGATCGGAACGCTTCAAAAACCACAACTTGAGTTGATTGGTACATCATTCATGGTTGGTTTGAAATAAGGTAGAAACTTATAAAGGAAACTAATCACATGGTTACTGAAAATTCTTCGACAACCCACGACCGGTTTCGCCCTTCTTGGGGCTCATCAGGTAGGCGCAGTCCCCAAGTTTCCGTCAACCTTATGTTCTACTTGAACCCAAATCGGACTGTTTTCGA